TCATTTTTTCTACTAGAACCACTCTATGCGCGTTGCGAACAACCATATTTCAGCAGCTAGTACTCAGAACCTCAAAGGCTGTTCGTATGCCAGAGTTTATCAAATAATGCCCGACTTTTCCAAGAACCGGGAAGTCGCGGGATGGCTAATTAACCTCATAGGCAATCAGAAGAATGAGGCGTTGCAATCACCGTAAGGTATAGTCTTGGAGGAGTCATGCATCATCCTTACAGAATGCAACGTTCCCATTCAAGTCGGATACTCGTCAATCATTCTCGTATCGATTCAATAGCGCTACTTCAAAAATTCAGGGCTTTGGTCATTTCAGGCGTTCTCCACGACGTACACAAGGTTTAACAAACGTAACAGGAAAACGTGAAATTCTTGATCTTGTGGCAGCTCGGTGAACAACCGGTTGTACTCAGCGAAGCGGCTCTACGAATTGAGTTTGTCCTGCTGACGTCACTCGCCTTTTGGACGCCGAAGCTAAAGTCTCTGAGGTTCCCATCCATCATGTCTCGCCGATGCTATCTGACTTGTTCCGGCCACATCCTAAAGCTGGAATTTGAAAGCAGACAGAGTTTTGAAATACATTTAAAATGCTTACTTTAAACTGCTTGCCGTTACGCTATAATAGCTTGCTTACCGCTGTGCATCCATGCATGGACTCACCCATGTTAAAATATCACTGAATTCTGGCCTACTTACGTGGTCTCTAGAAGCTAGTGATGGTGCGACCTTGCTTTAAAACCGCGTGGGATAACCTATAAGAGTCATTCTCTATGACGTCTTTATGTAAACTAAATGAAACTGGTTTAAAATGTAAAATCATATTTGCCTGAACATGTTTACAGACAAGTTATTAGAACTTGACGACGTTCATTTCAGTCCGGTGCCCGTTGCCGAAATTTGTGCATGTTATGTTATTCAAGGCAACCTTTAACCAGTAACGAACATGTTCTTTTTCTTAGACAACATTATGTAGCCCGATTTTCAGACGAAGTCTGAAAGTTGTCTTTCAGGATGTCTTTCCCACTTCCTGGTGTTTTCATCGAGTATCATTCCTCTGATCTTCCGTCCACTTTTCATGAGCAATCATTCTCTGGCCAAGAGGAAGATGATGAATTGACTCAACTCATTTACCTGCTTTGAAGTGAAAGGATTAAAAGTACAATGGTCCTCCGTTCCTTGCAGTCTAAATAAGTTCCGGCACAATTAAACAGTTTCGAGATTGACATTAGCATCTATGAGCAGAATAATGGCATGGACCAGTCCATAAAGAATGGAAGCGTGGAGAACTTATCCGTGGATCTAAATGGCATCGGGCAATCACGAGGTTCAGTTGCTGTGATGTCACACCACTGTCAACTGTTGGGAAACTTACCTCCTGAATTATCCCCGAAGGGTTCAAGCAAGCAGCTAACGAGAAACTTTGTCAAAATCAAGCAAGCATCAGAGTGAGGTACTCCTACTTCGACCAAATTTTCACTCCATGTAGAATTATCGACGAATATCGAAGATTTCAGTGGCCTCGGTTTGCCAATTTCTGTGACTTTGAGAATAATATTTGATTCCCTATATCATGTAACGATGTGACAAATATAAAATTCTGCGGGATGGCTAAACAAATCGCTGTCATCACAGGAAACATGCATGTAGAAAGCGTGTCTATTGCCAAAGTCGAAGGAGAGCTGTCAGAGTTGGTTGCTTTTAGGTGTGGAGTTTGCCTGGAGTTACGCTTCAACCTTGGTTGTTCAACACTTTCTCTGAAACACTGCTGATTCTGACAAGGGCAAAGGCTACATTCCAATGGGAAGGCATAGGTCAACATATCTGGCTAGGTATCATGCTGACTTGGAATAAGTAGATGATATTGTTCTCGTGGGGAGTACGGAGCGGGCTTTCTTATGGTAGCCCGGAACCAAAGACGGTCTTAGCTTTCATGAAGGTCGGGCAAAGATTAAATGGAGCCAATCGTGTTTATCTACACGTTGAACAGGGAAGTGAAACAGTTCAGAAAGTTGACCAATGTGAGTGTCTCAGATCCACTGTTTCCAGCGGTGGCACCATCTTGTCGAAATTAAACGCGACGATCGCCGTCCCCTCCAGCGCTTTTAGTACCTGTAATGTAGAATGATCGGGCTGAGAAAGGAGTAGCCCGTCCCAGAAAACATTCACCTGTATTTTGCCTCTGTAAGGTCAATGTTGCTATTCGACATGAAGACCGTTATTTTAGTGAAGTGAAAGAACAACGGCTAAACTGCGTACAAAAGCGCTGGCCTCGACATAATGAGAGTTAAACGGCAGGACTTCTTATGAGGAATAGTTCAATTTTGTTTCCGGTAGAGATGACCTCTGTGGATTTGGACATTCATAAATGAGGTTATTCCTGTTAGACATACTGGTTGAGGATCGAGGAAGAGCTACCCATCTACTCCAGCCCCTGAGTATGAGCCGAAACGCGGCATCCGTCGAATAGGAAGTTAACATGCAACATGGAAGAACGCGGTAGAGGCAAATGTGCGTTCAAAAAAAAATGTTTCTT